GGTCTGGGGAGGAAGGCTCCCCAGCAGTGTCTCTGGACACCCGTTATCATGCCTGTTGTGGGCCTGACACGGAGTGGGTCACCCTCCCCGGGGGTATGGCCATGGAATCTGGCTTCTGAAGAAGGCACTGTAGGTGGCAGTGACAGCAAAATGCAGTTTTGAGTCCCGCCTTAGCTGTCTCCAGCAAACGTAATTAACTGCAGAAATCCACCCTCTACCTCTTCCTGCTGCATCTGTAGCGTGAACAGCTCCTCTGTTCACTTTCAGGCTCTGGGACTTGCTCCAACATTTAATTGACATTTATTGAGCATCTGTTACATCCCAAGTATTGTGATGGCATTAGGGAAAGAACAATACAAGCAAAGTCCTTATTCCCACGGGTGTGGGAAGTGTGTGGCAGGGGACAGGGAAGTCAACAAGGGTAGTGCTGTAGCAGAAATAACAGAGGGCTGGTGATATTTGAGCGGAGAACTTCCGGCAGGGGGGAGCATCCCAGCAAGTGCGGTCTTGAGGCAGGACTGAGCTCCCAGAGATAAGCTGTCGGGAGCCGGTGAGGTTAGCATGAGCTGAGGGAGAGGAAGGCAGGCGCAGGCTATGGGGCTTTGTAGCGTAAGGAGTGTTGCTGGGATTCAACACTGAGTGATAAGGACAGACTGCTGGTTAAGCTGTTCTGGCTGCCATGTGGAGACTGGATTTGGAATGGAGTGGAACGGAGATTAGGCAGCTGTAGGCTTCATCAAGCTAGAGATGGGGCAGGCTAGGCAGAGATGGAAGTCAGCACATCTGGGGCTTTTCATGGATGGATGTGGGGAGAGGGTGAGAAAAAGAGCCAAGGATGAGCCCTCGGTTGCTTGAGGAACTGTGGACAGTGGTACTGTTTGCTGAGGTGGGGAGACCAGAGGAGGAACATGCTAGTTATGTCCCATCCAGTTTATTCTGACTCACCCTGACAGAGCAGAACTGCCCCACAAGGGACAATTATTTCTTGGAGCTGCTGTTATTATTGGCTGCAGTTCTTTATTGGAACAAGTCACTGGGTCTCTCTCCCATAGAGCCGCTGCTGGAGCATGTCTGCTGGCAGCTGTGGTAGATTCAGAGGACTGGGTGAGGGTGTGCGGGCTCCCGTGTGCTGGGTCAGGAATACCGGCGAAGCACACAGGCTCTGTGAGGGCCGGCAGGCGAGGCGGGAGCATGAGGGTTGATCTGATGGCATCTGATTTCTCCACGCTTCATGGCAGCTACTGACTGCTCTGGGCGGGGGAGCAAGGAGAGGCCGAATGGAAGCACTTTTGTTTGCAGAAAATGAAGACTTAAAAATACTTACTGAAGTAAAAAAACAACCAACTTTCTGAAGTTGGGCAGAGGGCAGTTTTCAGGACTGGTTACAGCTAAAGTAAACACAGATCCTCAAATAACCCAGGAAACATCATGATAAATGGAGAAATTCTGAAGCTGTTAAGAGACTTCATTCTACCCAGATAGGCATCCATGCAAGGTGCAGCCAGAAACCTGGTGTCTCAGGGCACTGGAAACCCGTGCTGCAGACCCGTAAAGGCTCACCCCATGATGGTGCAATGAAGTGATCCCTTAGGGCCCTTCCAGCCACAGATTCTGGACCCCCATGTGACAAACGAGTGAGGCTGTGCAAACATCATACTTGGGGCCCACTGTGGAGGCTGGACAGTTTGCTGCTAATGCAAATAAAATGTATGCTGTTGTGTGCTGTCCAGTTTTAACTGATTCATAGCTGGCCCTACTGCAGGTTTTCACATGCAGTAAATCACACGGAAAACGCATGTCCACCTTTCCCCTCCGGAGCAGCTGAGAGTCAAACTGCACACCTTCCGGTTGGCAGCACAAGTCCTTACCACTAAGCAACTAGTTGTTGTTGACTGCCTTCCAGTTGAGCACGACTCCTAGTGACACTGTGAACCAAAGGCCCGAAGCCACTCTACAACTATCGAAATTTATCAAAGTTCATGGAGTTTCCGGAGGCAAGTTCTTTAGGAAGTAGATGGTAGAGCTCCTTTAAAATGGAATCTAATTGTTAAAGGTTGTATGTCAACCGGGCTGGGCCATGATTTTCAGAGGTTTGGTAGTTACACAATGATGTAATTGTCCTTTAATTTGTTGATGTGAGCTCCTAATTTGGGAGCTATGATCAATGAGGCAGATTTAGGGTAACAAGTATCGTGGCCACAACAACCCCCTCCCCTTGCTCATGTAAGGGAGGTGTTTGAGGGTATGGTTTGCATCTAATAGAAGAGAATGTTCTGGCAGAATTCTCTCTCGCTCTGGCTCCTGGCATCTGGCCCATCATCACCTGAACTCCAGTTCTTGGAATGTGAGCCGGTCCTGACTCACTGATCTCCACAGCCAGCAGCCTGTCATCTGACCCACCAATCTGAGTTTATCTAGCCCTGCAACCAGGTGAATCAGAAGCCTCCAGCCTGATGCCAAACTCATGGATTTGGGATTTACCAGTTTCCACAATGTGTGAGCTATTCCCTTGAGAGTTCATGGCTTTGTGTTTTCTGTGTGACACTGCACTGAATTACAGAGCTCAAAGACGGGGAGAGCAATGAGGGGAGGAGGAGTTGATAACAGAAGTTCACGGTAACAGTCGCACAGCAGCTTGGAAAAGCTGGACATCTTTAACCTTTGCCTCACAGAAACCAGCTTTGTTCTGATCTTTCTGAAGTCATTCGTTCCCGTGGTCTTTTCAATTGCCTCATGTGCATGAGAAAGCCGGACAACTGAAACAAAAACACTCACCATCGATGCATTTGGACTGTGCTGTTGGCAAAGACAGTGTAATACCAAAAGGGCAAGTCAGTCTCAGAAGGGATACAACCCAAAGCTCCTCAGAAGAGCAGAGGCACTCCCATCTTCACCTTGAACATGACATCAGGAAGGACTCACTGCTACAAAGGGCACAGTGTTTGGGAGAGGGTCAGGGAAATGAAGACCGCTCTCCACGAGACAGAATGACCACGGCCAGAGGAGGCTCAGTCATGGCAAAGACCATGGCTGCTGCAGAGCCAAGTGGTGTTTCTTTCTGTTACACACACACTCACGGAGAGAGAGGAAGAGGGACAAGGTCGCATGAGTCACAGCCAACTTGATGGCAACTAACACCACACTGAATACTTACAGCGCGCGCGCGCACACACACTCTGCATGCTCCGTATAGGAGACCTGCACCACAAGCGGGGCACCAAAAGGGCAGCCAGGCTCGGGCCCCTTGACAAGGCAGCACAGTGCACGTGGAGGGCTGGAATCATGGACTCTGGAGCCATTGCCAGGCTTCACGGTCGAGTCCTGCCGCTTACTTGTTGGGTGAGCTGGGCGAGTTTCTGTCCCTCTCTGCCATTTTCATTCTTGTCTGGTAAATCTGTACTGGAAGCCTAACTGAAGAGCAAACGTTCAGGTACAAATAACTGAGCAGGCCGACTGGGCAGAGGCAGGAAGTGACTTGCCCAGAGTCCCGACTGAGCAGAGGCTGGGGCAGGGCTCCGAACCAGCCCTTGGGCATCCTCAACCGTCTCCAGTGCTGAAGGGACCACCCGAGAGCCAGCCTGCAGGTCCAAAGCAAGAATCGTGACAGAAAATTGGGGGGAAGGTATGATAGGAAAGCAAAAACTCAAAGACAGGACAAGTAAAACACAGAACTAACAGACTCTGATAAAACAGAAACATGGGTTTCAAAACATACGTCAGGATGTGTGCTCATTTATTAGGGCTTCTCTCCACTACACCTCCTGGGAAAGAAATATTCTCATAGCCTGACCACAGAGGGACAGGCAATCACGAAGTCCAGCAGCTCAGGATGGGGCTGGGAAATCTATACCACAGAAATGAAAGAAAAGCAATATGTATCTGGTCCCCTTCACTCAAAACCACCATTTCCTCAATAGTATCACATGCCATAAAAGGCACAAAACAGACTTTGGAACTTGGAACTAGAGATAATTATAAAAAAAAAAAAAGGAAATACTCTAATTAGAAAATAGCTTTGTGTCTAGCATGGGTCTGAAAGTGCCGGAGGCCCAAGGCCAACCCGTCACCTCCTGCACCCCCACAACTCAGTGCCCACGCTCCAGCAGCCTCCTTCCCCTCTGGGAGCTGCTGCCACCCAGACACATAGTGGGCATCCTGGCCTCTCAAGTCTTCCAACCCCGCTTCCCATGGGACCCAAGCTGAAAACCCTGAAGGAGGAAAGTTTGGAAGGCCTGAGTTCTGACAGTTCTACCCACAGGTTCAGGTCATGTCTCCTGGGTTCTGTTTAAATCCACTCTGACTTCAGGATGGAAAAAAAGAGGCTTCTGGTAATTCACTCCCCTCCCTGACTTTGCTTGGCTAGAATTCCTTGTATCTCCTACTTTGGTTCAGCCCGATCTGAACTGTCTCTAAAAGGCCCCTTTTACATATCAAGTCCCGTTTCTTAGGGCTGAGCTCAATGGCTCTGCCCTGGCCACCTGCACCTCCCTTATATAAAGCGGTGTCTGGGAGCCGCCAGGTGGACAGGTACCCTGCAGGACTGCCTGCGTGCTCCCCAAGGAGATGGAGGCCAGGTCCCCGCGATGCGGCTGACTAGAGCGGAGCTGTTGGCCCTGTGAGTCAGAGCCCTTCACCAGGAGCTCTGAGATCCGTTCTCCTGTGTCGTTTCACAGCCTTTCCTGTAGCTTTTGTAATTAACTTCCACAGGTCAAAACCGAGTTTTCTGTTCTTTACTCAAAGTTCCTTTTGTAGCAACGAGCCTCAAATTCATCACTGTTCAAACATGTGCAAACAGGCACCAGTGGCAGGAAGTGGTCCATTTTCCTTATAGCAGGAGTGGGGACAGCTGTGCCCAGGGTCCTCGGAGGGCAGCGGACAGTCCCTCTGGCCCACAGGCTGAGTCCGACACAGCCTCCTCTCCCTCCTGCTCGTGCTGACCACTTCTGAGGCCCTGGACACGGAACGAGCCAGGCTCCAGACAGCTGCCGTGGCAAACGTCATCACCGGCCCATGATGAAGCTGGGCCCATCCTCTTCCTCCTCGGTCCCAGACGCCTCCTCAGAGCTGCTGGGCTGCTGCTCCTGGGACTGACTGGGTCCTGTAACCACATGACATTGGGATGATCAGATACAAATTCACACCAAGAAGGAAAAAAACAAAGCACATGCCACTGAGTCAGTTCCACTTCTGTGTCAGGGTAAAGCCGTGTTACAGGGTTTTAGCGGCCAACTCTGAGGAAGGAGACTGCCAGGACTTGCTTCTCAGGTGCCTCAAGGCAGATTCAAACCACGAGCCTGTTGTTTGACAGTCAAGCACTGAGCTGTCTGTCTTCCTCAGAGACTCCCTCAGCGACCACGGGGCTTTTGGAGAGAATCTGGAACTGGGAGTTGTGAAGCAAGGAGTCAGGGGCCAGTCCGCCAATCCCATCAATCCCCAATACTGGTCCCCAGGTACGAAGGGTCGGTCACAGAATTGCTCCATTACTGCTCTGACGAATGGACCTGTCCTTGTCAAAAGACCCAGCAGCAAAGAGGAGAGCCCAATGCCCTGTCAACCAGGTCTCCCTGTATTTTACATGGCCCTTAATACAGGCAGGGTGCCTTCCACAGCCTACCCTCTGTGTCAACCCAGGCCAACAGCACTCCTGGTGAAGTTCAAGTTCTCACCAGCCTGCAAATGGAGTTTTAAAAACTGGGTAGCAGAGGGCTCTGCCCACAACAAATCTGCCAGCTTCTTGGCTCTTCCCTAGCACAGACGCAGAGGCCTTCCCTCCTGACACCCCATGTGCAGCCCTGAAATTCCACCTTCCCCCTTCACCATTGCCAGCACCCACAGCACAGCTGAGCTGGTCACAGTTGAGTACAGGAACAGCGTGTTCCCACAACAACTCCTCCCTCTCTTTCTGGGCGCCTGAGGAATGGGAGAGAACTGGAACGGTGCAAAGCCAGAGACCACATCTTCCAGCTCAGCCCCTCTGGGCTGCCACCTACAGGCAGGGTGTCCTCATCAATGCACAACGGGGGGCTCACCAGGGCCCCGAAAATGTACTCAGGCCAGCACCCACCAGCCATACATGCACCGAGTTTTGCTCAGCAAAGAGCTTCAGAGTGAGAGGCCTCCGGGTGCCACAGCGCATGTCATCTTTGGGACTTCATGTCACTGATTTACAGTATCAATCTCTTTTGCTCAGAAGATCAGGGTAGCACAGTGGTTAAGCACTTGGTTGCTGACTGGAAAGTTGGCTGTTTGAAGTCACCAGCTGTTCTACAGAAGCAAGTGGAGGACCTTGGAAACTGTAAGGGGCAGTTCTACGCTGTCCCACGGGGTGGCCGGGAGTCGGGATCAGCTGGTGGCAGTGGTGTGTCTCCTCCCCAATATCATGTCAAAAAGAATGAGAAATTCAAAAGGACAAAGGATAGTAAGCTACTAGCTAGGATTTGTTACACGTAGTAATAGCTACTACGGACCAGGCACTGTGCTAAGTCATTAAATATATGATCGTGTTTAATTTTAACATAGTTTGTATGATAAACCAAAGCCAAATTCATGGTCATTGAGTTGATTCCAACCAGAGCGGCCCGTCTGGTTTCTGAGGCTGTGAAGCTTCACTGAAGCTGGCCGTCTCAACTTTCTCCCGCAGAATGGCTGGTGGATTCGAACCACTGTCCTTTCAGTCAGCAATCCAACACTTAACCTACTGCACCATCACGGCTCCTTTACAATGTTAAGTACCATTATTTTGTATTAGTTTTCAGAGAATGAAAATAAAGTTCAGAGAAGTTATGTCATCTAATGTTCAAAGGTGCTTCAGACAGGAACCCAGCCAGACAGGGACCTAGACAACTGGCCTGGGTTTGTTTTTGTGTTATTTATCCCCACCGACATAGGGTATCTAAATCAAGAAGTCTGTTGAGTAGAAAGCTTCAGTAGCCTAGTGGGTAAAGAGCTGTACTGCCAACCCAACAACACATGGTTCAAATCCACCAGTCACTCTAGGGAAAAAGATGAGCGATCTCTTCCTGTGCAGCTCACAGCCTCTGAAAACCCACTGGAAGGTCAGCTAAGAGCAGCTCTGACAATGAGTTGTCTGCTGAGTGAGTCTACTTCCAGCTTTCAAGGGGCTGGTGCTCTTGGTAAATGCAGTTGTCTGTCACGGAGTATGACTTCCAAGACTCTCTTTACCAGTCTTCCACTACTTCTGCCATATATTCCATTTCTAATTATCTAGCATCTGGAATTCCCCAAGGCTGACTTTGGTGCAATCAAGTGTTTGATTATATGGTTTTACTGCTGGTGACACAGCACAGGTAACATGCATCACCTATCTAAGGCAAGGCGGGAATCCTGTCTGAAAATGCCTCATACTGGAGGCACCTCCGTCTAGCTTGGGCTCAAAGCCGGGGAAGCTGGTACTGAGGCTGACAGCAGTGTGGACTGGACCAGCTGAGCTGTCTGCTGTGCAATGCTCCACAAAGGGGTGGGGCTCTGTCGGCCTGCCTTGGGGGTGCAGCAAGCCATCAACAGAGCCAGGAGTGGCCCTCATTACCCTTTCCTCAGGAATGCTTGGGGGCGGGGTGGGAGCTGAGCCTGCTCCGATGATGACAACCAAGATGTCCAGATGTCCTTCACAGGCAGACAGACAGAACCTGGTATATGCACATGATGACATTTTATTCAATAAGAGAAAGGAATGGGCTATAAAGCTATGCAGAGACATGATTCTTAAAGGTTCATTAGTAAGTGAAAGACCACTGTTTGACATAAAGCAGTGGTCTGCGTGTCACTCTGAAGCTGGAAGATATGCCACTGGTATTTCAAGTGTCAGCAGGACCACCCATGGTGGACAGATTTCTGAGAAGCTTTTACAGTAAGACTAGGAAGCAGGCCTGGTCACTCACTCCTGAAATGCTGGGCCACTGAAGATCCACCAAGAGCAGCAGAGCATCGTCTGATAGAGATTCAGAAGACAAGGCCCCCAGGCACCCAAAATATGCTGAGGAAGAGCGGCCTCCTCAAAGGAGCATCTAACTTTACGACATGGATTGAGTGAAGCTTTCATTTGCTTACGTGGTACGACCAAAACTAAGAGAAACTGCTTCACACAACCATTAATAACTGAAACAGTGTAGGGAGCAGGATGTGAATGAACTTGGAGGCTGTAAGAAGACTGAAGAGTACTGACGCCTTTGACCTGCAGTGCTAGTGAAGAATACTGAATATATCATGAAAGAACCACCACCAGCCTGTATGGGGACAAGCAGAGCCAGAATGTTCTTTGGAGGCAAGGACGGGGAGACTGTCTCACATACGCTGGGAATGGCAACAGGAAGGGCATATTGCCTGGTAACGCGGAGGACCTGCGATCGAGGACGGCCCTCACCCACAGGGCTGGGCACGGTGCCTGCACCAACAGGCTAAGCACAGAGACTGTAAGGCCAGTATGGGAATGGCAGGGTTTCTGTTGTTGTACAGGTGCCACTGTGAGTCGGTGCCAGCTCAATGGCACCAACAAGAAGAGAAAGATGTCAGCCTGAAAAGGCTACAGCGGGATGCTTCCATTAACACAATACGTGGGAAAGGCCAAGCTATGGAGAGGGTAGTCAGAGCACTGAGAAACAGATTAAGGTTGCCCAGGGTTGGGGGAAAAGCTGACTAGGTGAAACACAGCTCTTTCAAGACTCTGAAACTAAATTTAAGCCACTGCTATGGCAGACGCATGCCACTATGCATCTGTCAAAGTCCACAGGGTTTCACAGGACAAAGTGAATTTTACTGCATACAGATTAAAAAGCAAAACCAAAAACGGTGAAGAGGCCAGAGAATCCCAGGATGAAATGAAGAAGAGGAGAAAAGGATCTAATGTCTGCTAACCTGCAGAGTGCAGGGAGAGGGTTCTGCCTAAGAAACTCCTGAAAACGGCTGAGGTCTGTAAGGTGGGCAACGCCCTCCTGCTTATTTACAGCTTCGGGAACCCGATGGAAGATCAGCTCTGAGCTGGTTCTGACTTAACGGCAGAGAGAGAGAAGTAACTCTGTAAAGAAGCGCCATCCGTAAGATGAAAGGCAAAAGGAGCTGATTCTGAAATGCTAACATACAGAGGCCTGGGCAGCTAAGGAAGACCATGGTGGATGGTGGGAGTCTGGTTACTCGCTGGTGGGGTGGGAGGCTACAGAAAAACAAGGGGAGAAGGCTAGAATAAGCCTTGCGGTAACGAATTATAGTTGGAGGCATTGGTATGAACTCATGTTTAGCTTAATACAGCTCCAGATAGACGCATATAAAAATAGCCATAGAAATGTGCACATACACTGGTCAATACACACACTTACTCCTTTGCTCTATCAACTGAGAAGGGCTAAAAGCAACAACCTCACAGTAGCAATGAGCATGTGTGGCACCCCCAGAACCTAGAGCATCATCCTGCCACAAAAGGAACCCTTGGAGAATTGGCCAGTTCTAGCACTGGGGCAGAAAATGGAAAAGACAGGCTTGGAGTATCTTGTAGTGCCGGAAAGTAAAGAAGTGCTAAACAAAACAAAAAGTCAGCCTACAACAAGGACATCCATCAAAAGGACACAGGAACCACCTGTGAGAGCTCCCAACCACCAACCCGGAACAAACTCAACAACAAAAAAACCCCTGTAATCATAACCTAACACCAAATATTATCACCTAAAGTACAGAAGAAATAGCCATGTGTCTATATGGATATAAATACATGACTGAATGAATAAATCAGAGGGGAGGAGGGAAAGGAGGTAGGAAAGAACAGGAAAATCTCCCCTGCATAAGAATCCCAAATGGTTTCTGCAGCTTCTCTGGCTCAAGGAGAAGGTGCTCAACGGCCATTCCTCAAGCACGGCCTGCATCTACTGACTTCCTTTCGGAGCAGGGTACAGGCAGGGGTGTTGTGAGCACAGCAGGAAAAGAGTCCCTGGTGGCACAAGCAGTGAAGTGCTAGGATACTAATCGGAAGGTCGGTGGCTGGAACCCACGCAGAGGGACTGGAGATGAACAGTTTGGTGATGTGTTCCTAAAAGGTCCACAGCTATGAAGACCTGACTTCTCCAGACCCTTAAGGTTCCCGTGAGTCAGAAT